ACATTTCTGTCCCCCTCATTTCTGAAATGATGGCTACGCCCCTGATTACCAAGAATTTTTTTTTTCAGATTAAAATGTGCATTATTGCTAATAAAGCAAGGAGTAGTTGAAAACAGATCTGGTAAAAAAGCCGAAAAGGAAAAGCTCTTAAGGTAAAGTTACTTGATTGTTGTTGATATGTGAAGAAAAATGGCTATAACAGCACACATTGACACAAAAGACACCATTTTTGTGGAATGGCACAGTTGTTGAAATGTTTAATTTAGACTTCTACCCTTCTGTAAGTCCATCTTTATAATTGTACTGGAAATGATTTTTAGCAGCATGTGTATACTGTAATGCTCTGACTTTAATCTGTTGATGATTACTGGGCAACAGTACAGAGATTCATAATGATATCATGTGAATAGTCTAGACATTTTTTTAAACGTTAAATCAGTAAATATGGCGTTTGTAAGTCTGCAGCACTGCAATGTATACTCACATAATTTTTTTTAATACCATGGTCTTTGCACCGACAGAGATTTCAAGTGAAGCATTCGCTGAATTTTAAATTATAATATTAAAGGCCTTTTCATACTTATTTCAACGCAAGAAGCTTTTGGAAAAGACACGCATGTATGTGACAACAAAGACAATGAAACTTTTCCACCTCTCAAACTACCAGCATTTGAGCTTTGTTGTGGTTTCAAGTATTTACTATCAGTAGTCTTGCTGTAATCATGTTCTTGGCATTGTAAAGGAATTCTTGGAAATCTCTGCGCCCTCTCTGACGTGTTACTTGCGCTGCTTAAATTCAAATAATTACTGCTTGCAGTCTTAATGAAACAAGGACAGGTGCAACAAGGAAATGTTTTGGTAATGTCTGGCTGTTTCCTCGTTTCTTGTCATGTTCACACCATTGAAATAGTGCCCACAGTCCTTTTTTCACCATTTGTTTTTGTGTGGTTTGTCACATTACAGCTCAACTCAAAGAACCATCGTGGTCGCCCTGTCTGAGGTGATTCCTCAAGCAGCTGGTGTGAATAGTGATTCTCAGGCATGCCTAGCTAAAGTTTTACGAGAAAAACCACACTGCAATGATCCAAAGTCCATAGCACTTTTTGTGCTGCTGCCGTTTTTGATAATGAAAGCATAAAGCAGCGGTTAGTTGCATGTGTTTTCCTGATCTTCGGTGTGGGAATTTATTACGCAAAGGAGGAGGAAACTGTGTCCCGTTATTCCAGATTCTGTTACCATGGTAACATAAGGATGCAGGGGCTATGCATTTTATATAAAGTGCAGATATTGACCACTTGCTTTCTTTGAAATAGGGGCTTGAAAGGGCATGGTAATCTAAATCGAAATCCGGATCATATGTACACAGGACCCTTCGGTCCATTTCAGATGTCTCATGAAACCATGTGTAGTTATGCCCGTCTGTGGGGTGGAAATATGGAAGAAAACACCACCTTCTTGGGTGCAAAGATTGATTACAGCGAGTTTCAAGAAATATCTCCGTAATAGATGACATTTCTGGGTGGCAATGCTGTGAAGTGACCTGTAAAAAGACTGTCATTATCCATAGGCTACTTGCGGCTTTTATCTGCTTTCATTCATTGAGGCTGAGAGGTTCTCCTCAATATGATCATTTTGTTTTTCTAATCATGTCGATAGTGGTGATGATGATTTAATATCACTGCAATGAGGCAAACTGTTCTGCTGCCATTTCACAAGAGTGCAGCACTCTGGGTAAGACAAGCAGATGGTGACCTGCTTTCTGTCCTGTCTTATTCTATCACTGGGTTGATTTATCAAGCACTGTTGTGTGAAACTGTGACGGCACCATATTTCTTCAGTTGCTGTATCCCGTGATTCCATGATGATGGACAGTTTGGTAGAAGATGCTGCAGTGAAAAAATTATTTAGGCTATTATTGATGATGTTAATAGTAGTGCCTGGATAAGTATTGTAGCTTTTTTTTGTTGTTGTTATTTTAGAGTTTCTAAAGATAACACTCTGTTTGGGATGGACACTTGAGTAGGCCTGTTGCGATAGTCAATATTTCGACTTATCGCACGATATATGGAATTGAGCGTGATAATTTTTGGTATAATTAAAAATAATGATTTATATTATTTTTTACAAAAAATTTATGTCACCAACATTTTATTCGATCGCGCTGCCTCTGTTATCTCGTCTTCTCTTTGTGGTGGAGGCGGGGCGCAAGCGTCTCCCCACACACACACACACAGAGCGGACAGCATTGAAGCTGCGTATCGCGTTCGGTTACGACAGTCAAGACGATGAAACTCTCTCCGAGAGCGCACAGTAAATGACGTTTACAACTGTTAAAAGAAAAGGCTCAATAAACTACATAACAGATTTAATACACTACGCATCAATATCTCTTCTCTTTCTGCTTTAAACGTTTCTATGTGGAGCGCTGCGCGCTGTGACTCTGTGTTGCTTCAAGCGCATCATTCTGCGCACAGGATGCGCTTTGTGCCGCTCTGGATTGAGCCTTTCATACTGTATTATAATACTTTTGCACATGATAGGACAGAACAAGAAAGGCTATTCATAATTTAATGTATAGCACAGTAATGGAGGCAGCAACATATGATAGATAGGACTCCTATTCTATATACTATAAACTTGTATAGGCCTGGGCGATAAAACGGTATCGATATTTATCAACGGTGCACCTTCTTCGATAACGATAGAAAAATGTTCGATATAGGACACGATATAGGTAGGTGCTATGAGTGACGCAGACAGCTCACACAAACACGAACACATGCTGAAATGAATTATCGATACCGAACGATATGAAACATTATATCGCTGATAAATTATTTAGCTATATCGCCCAGCCCTAAACTTGTATATTTATATAGAATAGGAGCGATGGAGCTAGTGAGCGACGCCTCGTGGTACCATCACAGAGAGGCTTAAAATCACTTTCCAGAACATTCTCGTTCACCATTCCTGGCTGGTGGAATGACTGTATTATAATACTTTTGCGCATGATAGGACAGAACAAGAAAGGCTATTCATAATTTAATGTATAGCACAGTAATGGAGGCAGCAACATATGATAGATAGGACTCCTATTCTATATACTATAAACTTGTATAGGCCTGGGCGATAAAACGGTATCGATATTTATCAACGGTGCACCTTCTTCGATAACGATAGAAAAATGTTCGATATAGGACACGATATAGGTAGGTGCTATGAGTGACGCAGACAGCTCACACAAACACGAACACATGCTGAAATGAGTGCTGTGTCTGCCTGTGATGAGGAGATTGTGAATAAAGAATGAATATTAGTCAAATTTAAAATAAACATTTACATTTAAATGTTAGGTGTGCATTAGGGAGCGTCATTAGTGGCGCGCGAGATGCAGTGATGATGTAAGTGACGTTGTTGCATTTTAATGTTTTGTTAGTCTAGACCACGAGACACGCAGTTGCTGCGTTATTCATTCAAAATATATTTATTCCTTCCCTTTCTAGCTTGTACTTATTTGAACGATGCCTAAAACTTGGTATTACAAGCACTTCCTGTGTCTTTGCCTTTTTAAGAAGAATCGCTTTATGTATTCCCCAATTGTAAGTCGCTTTGGATAAAAGCGTCTGCAAAATGACTAAATGTAAATATGTTGTTGTCTCATTACTGCTGTGCATTTAAAAGAAATGTAATTTAAATTTATAGCATATAGTATTTATATATAAATATATTTACTTGTTTTTCATGAATGTATTTTACTACAATACAAAGAGCAATGTATAACATTTTACCAGATTTAGTCCTACACTTATTCACTTTTATTTGTTCCCCAATAAT